TTTAATTGTCTAGAGACGACTTTACTTTCCAATTGCATACTCAGTTCAAAGTAGAGCCTGTTCCGATTCTGCATTGAACTTCCAGGCTGACATTGTTGTTGGTGTTAATACTGGTTCAAAGATAGACGAAGTTTTCTAAGACTTCAAAGATATGATCTATTTTTTCGAACCCAGAGATCGCAATAAAATTACTCGTTATTTCAGCAGTGCGGGATGGCGGGTTATCATGATGTAAAAATTAGCGCCACAAATCCTTTTTTCCCTGCCTTCCAACAAATATTTGAATAATTTGGGTAAGCACTCCTCGGGTTACCCTTTTGTAATTACCGTCTGAGTGGAATAGCAGCTACGATTTTAGATCAGGTGAAGTTAACTGACATCATTACTCTGCTGCTGATTTTTGTTGCTTTGATTTTACGGGTGGGTTTGCTCCTGTTGGGTCCCATACCGCGCACTGTTGCTTGGTTTCTACATCGTACTTATTGAAGCAAGATTCATCACCAGTAACGACCTAATTAAAGTTGCTAGACTGAACATTTTCCAATACGTTTTTGAAAAATTGATTGGGTCTAATCTAAATTATCGAGCAGATTTCTTCGTGTATGCCAGATACTTATTATTCGCAATACAACCATGAAACTCAAGCACAATTCATTAGCAGTCATTTCTTGTGTTAACCGTTGGTCTTCGTCAATTTTGGACTTCACCAGAGCTACACTGACGTCATCAGTGGAAGATTTTGATCAACATTCAAGAGGCTCGTCCTCTACGGAAAAATGTCCGATGTGGAATCTTTGGAGTCACTTAGAAATTGTCTTTAAATATGGTGCAATTGTTTCATATGCAATTTGGCATTCACTGATTATTTGTATTGGTTGTAAGATACGCCGAAAACCGAAGAGCATCACATCGCGAATTTCTGTTTGCGTTGGTGGTGGAATTTCGTCGGAATTAATCTTGCGTTTTTTCCTCTTCATTTTAGCCGATCGTTCTAAAATTTTAAAGGATGGTAAAAAAGTAATCGCAAAAAAATTGGTGTTTTTTTGAGATTTAACAAAAACAAATTGAAAGTCACCAATTGACCGAACTTTTGTTAATCCCTCGTACTCATCGAAGTATTTTGAAAATACTTCCTAAGTGATGGGTTGAAACCAAGTTTTATGAATTTTTAAATTCCATTTCCCATGAACTACAAAATATATATATATATGTGTATATGTATTACGTGAAAGCACACTTCATGTGTGCATTTTAATCTCAATTACAAAAATTAACAACATTTTAGCCCTTTAACACATGTATACATATACTGGTACATGCACCTAAGTACATGTTAACCCTCTGTTGACCTCACTTTAACCCAATATTAATATTAATATTATTTTTTTTTTTAGCAAAACGTTATACAAAACGCTCAAAGTAACACCCTCACCTTTTTGAATTCACCATTAGAAACAGTACAGTTTTTCAATCTCAAACAAAATACTCAGGCTTCGAACGCGCTTAAGGTGTGCCGCCATTTAACGCCCAGAAATTCGGTCAAACAATTTTGAATTATTTTTTTTTTTTTAGAATTTTTATGTAAAAACATATTCAAAGGCATATGTGTGTGTGTATGTAGAGTTAAAGGCTAAGAGATAAGAAACGTCGGTGCATTTTTGGTCAGCGTGGAAATCATAGCTTCGACTGGGCACAGGTGAAGAATGGCTGTGTACATAAATAGCAAAATGAAAAAAACAAACACAAAATTTTACAATGTTCGCTTCAGTGATTGATAGGAGTCGGCAGGGGATCATCAACAAAAGAAAGGATCCTCATCCAAGGTTGGTTGGAATAAATATTTCATGTGGTGGGTTACAAACCCTACGGACAACCGCATTGGGATTCGAGCACATTCCGAGTTGAAAAACAGTTATTTGATTTTCCTCCTCGTCAGCAACGACATATCAGTGAAAATAGAAGATTAGTCGGAATTTGGTTAGCATTGTGGACCTCACTGCAAGTGCTTGCGAAAACTAGCGACTGCCTTGCAAATTATGGAAACACTTGAATAGGAATAGAGGAAACAGGCTCATAGTACTCGTCGACTACGCAGCGCTCAAAGCGTTTTGTGGTGAAAATTTTGAAATTTTGTGCTGAGAATTGCGCCGTAATTGATTTTGTCTTGCAACTAGAGGTGACAGTGAAGGAACACAGTTGCTCGACATTGCATTTATTCTCAAAGCACCCAGTGGCTCGACGTATATTTTCAAAGAACTGCCTCAATATCATCGAGAAACAAGTAGGTAATACTATAAGTCAGGGATAGTTGTTGGTATCCAGAAATATATAGTTATACACTTAACTATCGAACCATGGAACCCAATCATGGAACCAGCGGGAGTGTATCAATAGACATCAAGCAACAATTCAATCGGGTCAGCGTTTTTCAAAAGCTAAGTTCGAACATAACTTCGTTACGTCAGGTGGTTTCTTATGCTACCAGTCGAACGACACCTTCCGTCACTTTTGGGTCATTTCGCCAATATTCAGATACCTCAAGAAGAATTCTAAATTTTGCAGCAACACTCAATTCAACTCAATTCTTATTGTTCCATTAGTTATTAGATACGCGTTCAGAAATATGATCTGTTAAGGCTTTTCCGCCTGACGGATATTTGTTTTGGTGTTCAATTATCACCAAAACTGCTCATCGCAGTCAGAGCGTAGTGAGAAAGTATGCCACAGAACCTTCCCTTCTCATGTCCAGCATACCGAAACAACTATCAGAAGCTGATATTGTAATAACAAATTGTTATAAAAAATTACGAGCAAATCATAGTCCTGGTTTGCGGAAACCGACTCTAAATAATGCGATAACATAACGAAGGTTCAAAAATCATTTTTTTGGTTGCCACTGGATTAAGTAAAGAGTGCTCATATGCATCATGCAAGCACTCTTAGCATTGCTGCTGGGCTCTACGGAATACTCTAAATATAACAACAAATATTAAAATTGTTTAATCATTACATTAATTACCTATAGGAAAAGCTGAGGATCATAAAGGGCAAATTATTATAATTAATAATAATTTTTTTATTACGAGTACATATTTATTTCAGAGCTGAAGGAAATTAATGATGTCATTTTACGTATTTTTTGCAAGCAGCGTGCGCTTCTTATACCTTTCATGAGCAATAAATGGTATATTAACTTTGGTGCGAGGTATGTTAGGCCCAGAAGGTGGACTAGGAAAGTGATCAGAACGACCGGATTGGCCCTGCTCGGTTGCCCGTTTATTTTGTACGCTAACTATTAACAGAGCTTTTGAGATATTCCAACCAAACTCGGTGTTTAGATGTATTTTTTAACTGTATTGATTGATTGATTTATCGGAACCGGGCTGATCGGACAACTATAACAAATAGCTGTCATGCATACGATTTGTTCTTATATGAGGTTTTGGGTAAAAACCCCGTCAATTTTCTTACTCCAAGTACTGATCCGTTCTGGAAAAGGACAAATATTATATCCATCATACTCTCCTTGTAGAGTATCGTTATTGGTACAGCTATGATACTTACGTATAGAACGCCAACTGTGGCTTCAGCCAGAACCAACTACTTTTTGAAAATTTTTTTTTATAATTTTAATAAAAAACCGAAAGAACTTCTTACTTGATGGCAGGTGAAAAGTTCGTACGGTTTTTATCTAAGTGTTGACGTTATTATTCATAGTACTAGTGTTACGTGTCGCATCATGTCATACTATACGGCACTGAAAACATGTTTATACGCGCTAAAAATTTTTTTTTGACAATTTATCGATTGGTTGACTCAGTGCGTTGTGAGCGCTCGTCAAAGATGGACACCAGCAAAGAGCAAATTCGCTAAAATTTAAAATTTTTCTTCGATCAAGGCGAGAAAGCAGACAAAGCGTCTGAAATAATTATCGACCAAAATTTTCCAATACTAGAAAGTAGAATTGTCCAAGTGCCCATCTAGGCTGCCCCAGCAATCCACCACGTTGTTAGTACCTCCTCAAGGGCGCTCGAGTACCAGCGAATGAATGTCTAAGGTGAAAATAACGCTTATTTCATATGAAGGGAGCGTGAACTGAAGGAAGAAACAACGCCCGACCAAAATCTCCGAAGAGGGGGCTTTGAAACGTCTCTCGGTCGCACAGTATCCGCTTTGAACCTCCAATGGGATTTTAAGGAATATCAGGATCTTTCATTTTTAATTTTGGTTTGATACTGCAACATGGTGTAAGAGCTTTTGACCGATTTTCTCGATGTATTGCAGAACTTTGGCTTTTTAAAACACATGAAATTCAAAGAAATTTGCGAAATCTTTATTTCAGCCGATAGAATGATTTTGTGTTTAAAGATTGTTTCAAGAAATTGTTGGCCATTGCAAATGGTCCAATGGTTATTTTGAAAGCTTACCCACACAAATCCTTCTGCAAAACTTTCTATGTGCTGGGGAACTGTCGCACAGTTGCTGAAAATTATGCCAAGTAAACCATTCCCGGTCCTCACTAACACTGACTGCGATAGTTTCCTCTGTCTGCGTATCTACGTAAGTCAAGCTGCCGAACAGGCGCCCCAGATGGTCGACCAAACTGAGCATAAAATGGAGGAATTGCACGCTACACTTTCTTAACCGACTATGAATATTGATAATAAAATTCTATTATTCGTAAGCGTTGGTTCTTTGTAAGTTCATTCAATATTAACATACTGAAAATGGTATAAGAAACGATTCAAAATAAACTGCCAAAATCTTCAGACCCTCACTGCCAATTCTGATATCTACAAACTCCGGAAAAGCGGAGCACAACTCCCCTTCAGAACTTATTTTACCAGGTAGTTTTCACATTAATATAATACCCATAGGACGAGCCGCGCCAAAAGGATCATAAAAATGTTTGAAATTAGTCGGTTTTACAGCTAGGAAAAGCAATTTGTAAACACAAATGTAACTTGAAAGCAACCGCAATCCTAACAGTCCGACCAATAATGTTGCTCTTGCACAACATAACCGCGCTACTCGGTCTAATTGAGTTTTCAGCTACAAATGAAGATTTTTTAAAAATAATCAAGGATATTGTTGCCGTCACGGCTACGGCCCAAAAAACCAAAACACTCATCTACGCGAGTAATGGCTTTGCGGAGTGTAACCGAGCGGAACAAGACAAGGTGGATGTAGCTCTTCAACTGAATTCCCTGCTCAATCCCAAACTAATGGCTCTCATCAGTATTGATGGTTATGCGCCTACCAAGCCTTACAAAAGACTTTTCAGTCTGAATGTACTAAGCGTTGTACAGTTAAATGGGGAATGGGAAAGTGACCAGCAGTTAGTAAGGAAATTACTAATGAACTTGGATCGAAATAGACAAAGTGGTATAATATTGCTCTTCTGTGACGCGGTCAGCCAGACATATGCGACGTGGATCATGCAACATTGCGCCGAAGTAGGTGCAATAAATGTCATCGCCTTACAGCCCAATATGACGGTGAAGGAGCAAAGTTATTGGACACTGCAATTATTTCCCGAAAAGCAAATAGTTCAGCAGAAATTGCCCACTTTTTACCGCGGAATATTCCCTGACCACTTGAGTAATATGCACGGATGTCCTCTGCGCTTTATAGCAAGCGGTTGGCATCCGCAAATATACAACTATATATCACCGGCAGGAAAAGTAAGGCTTAGCGGTTATTTGGGCAACACCTTTAATGCCTATGCGCATCACCGCAATGCAACAGTTCTTACACCAGGTAGTTATCCGAACGGTCTGCTAAATTATCCACAAGTTCGTAATATTCTGCTGAACAATGGTGCAGATATGGGGCCACTGTGGCCATTCCATCTTAGAGAGGACTCATTGGGATATACATCTACGTTGCATCGTTTCGATTTATGTCTGATGGTGCCGGTAGAAAACCGCATGCCGAGGTCTACTTTCTACTACAAAGTTTTTGGCGAGTGGTTTATAATTTTATTATTGATTAGTTTAATACTAATCTGCGTCCTTTTGACGCCCGCAATAAATCGAAAAGGGCATGTGTTTTTAGATCATAGTTTTAATATTGACATTTCGGTGCTACAAGGTTTTCTCGGCATGCCATTTTGGTTCCGTACGTGCTCCTCTCGCCTACATAAGTTCATAAGCATTATCATCGTTTTTGCGGGAATAAATGTTAACACGACTTATGTTGCGCACTTACAAAGCTTTATTGTAAACTCGCCCATAGACAAACCTATTAAGAGCATAGGTGATTTGGTAAACCGTGGCATAATGGTTGCAATGGACACGAACGTTTACCCTAAGCAAATGGGCGAAGAATACTTTTTAGAAAACTATGATAAATTCACTCTTTTAAAAAATGCGACTGAATTACTTGTGTTGCGCGACGACTTGGATACACGCTTTGCTTTTCCTGTCAGCAATATGTGGGATGTTTATAATGAGCAACAGAAATTTTTCGGTCAACCGCTTTTCCGTATCTCGAATATCTGTTTTCAAAAGGGCGGCTCACTACTAGTGCCATTGCCAGCGAACTCAATATATCGTGAAAGTTTAAATGATTTTATTGGTAGAATTCGCTCAGCTGGCCTTACAGATTTCTGGTTACGTTCCAGTTTTTTTGAATTGGTGAAAATGAAACGGATTACGATAGAAGATCGAAATCCACTGGAAGTTTTTAAGCCGATGAAAGTTGAAGACTTGCAATACATTCTACTAATAATGAGCTGTTTAATAAGCTTAAGCTTTGGATGCTTTGCATTGGAGATTTTATGGATGAAAATTAAAAAACAATTTTTTTCCAATAAAAAAGTTGATCGAAAGCTGTCTAAAAATCCACAGCGACAAGCAATTAAAATATAATTAATAACTGAGCATATTTAATTATTTTCGATTCTACGATTGTAAAAATTAATATTGTAAATTCCGTTTAAAGTTTATCTTTACTATTGTACAATCCTTGATAATCTATGTATGTATATGTTTAACAAATTAAAGCTCTAATTAGTTCAAGAACCCACATATGTATATGTACAATGCACAATGGCTCTAAAAGAGAGCACAACTTACAATTGGAGGACTTTCGATAACCGAACAGGAACAGAGAATAATTGTTGCGCATGCTGCCCTTTGCTTTATATTCCTCAAAAGAGATACGATTTGCCGCTATTGTATGCCATTCATAACTAATACCTCTCTCACTGCTACTTATTTGTGTTAAACATTAATACGATTCGCAGCACGATGTAGTACACACACACGAAGCAGCCAACTCAGTGAGTTTCAGCAGGGATGTACCAAGCATAAAATGAAATACGTAATTTGAAAGGCTTTCTGTTCCAAATGGAGAAAGAGCTGCTGGAGAAGCACTTCAAACTACATGTAGGGAAGCCTATTTAAAGCCGGTCGAGAATTACATCCAAAGCAAGATTGACGTTTCGAAAACTGACATATTGCAATGTGTTAAATTAAAATAAATATGTATTGTGTATGTACTTGTTGTTTGCATTTTTATACTCCCTGCATCTGAATTTGAACCTTGACTCTAATGTTGCACAAACCATTTTGTATGTGGTTTTATAAAGAATTGCAGTAAATATGATATTAAGGATACTGATTTTGATAAATTTTACGCGAAAAATGAAGGCCACATTTTTGCAGAGTGTATGTTTATAGGAATGTTACAATACTATAAATATTTTTCAAATGACAGCTTTACGAACACACCTTTTTACCGAAACAATGTTTTGCGATCTAATTTCAATGCCCGGGCTTGAGCTATCTTTCCGATTTCTTTGATCTAAAAACTTTTTCAAAATATATAGTTTTTCATATGTCTTGAACCTGAGATTAGCATTAATAGTTAATTATTTATATTTTTTCTGTAGCAACAAATTTATCGTTAAAATTGTTTGAATTGAGATGCAGGATGTAGAAAATTTCATTATTTTCAAGTAATGACAACGATTTTCGATTTCAGTCTACTACAAGAGGCTATAGGCTTGAAGTTGTCAGGCTATCTCTTTGGCGCAGAGAGCGATGGAAAGCGCAATTTTGTAGCCTATTTTTTTTTGCCGTTTTGAAATGTTAGTACGCCTTTTCATTCTCGCACAAAAAAATACAAATTTTGTCTGATTGTTGTCCAATATCAAGGGAAGGCCTTTTTAAGAGTACAACAAACAATAACCAACTGCGGAAATAGTTATGATTTTGTTAGCCATGCCGGCAGATTCTGACTCATTTTATATTTTTCAGTCTTATAATTAGATAATGTTTCGCTCAGTTGGAAGAAAGATTGCTCACATTAAATGCAGCGGTCCCTTTATCCTTGTTTTTGTACTTAGAAGTGGTGGAGCGCAATAAAATTTAGAGTAACCGTAACAACCCAAGCAACACATCGTAGAGACCTGAAACTTGGAGGGTGTGCTCCGCATATGATGCAGTCATCCGATGTTTAAGGTAAAAGTATAGAAATGAAGTGTGCGTAAACTGAATTTTATTTGTATGTGGACAGCCAGTTTATTTATGTGTCAGGTTTCATGATGTACCTAGGCAATACGGCCTTCCGAAGCATCTATCTTTTTTAATTACTGACAACATTCCATACATTTAGAAGTTCTTTTTCTAGACCTATATCAAACATTTTTTGTATTATTAGTCCTCATTACAAGTAGCATTCCAACCAAGTTTGGTTTGTTAATGCCTTAAATTCTTATTCGAACTTGAGTCTAGCTGTGGGTAGAGATCACAAAAGATCTGTTTTATGTGAAAGAAACGTAGTTGTTACCATAGTCAGTTTGTGTTCATATCAGATCATGAAAATTATGAGCTTCAAACTAGTCGGAATGTTCATACACATATATATATCATATATATATTTGGTGCTTTGTATCAGCTTAAACGATTTTTCGGCCGCTGGTTTTTCGTGTTGATATTTTTCTAACAAATGGAGGGGCCTACAGTTTATACTTAGCCACCTCCGAACGGCGGCTGATGGTATTTTCATCAGGAGCTTTATTTCATGTCCGGAATATACTCGGAGGGGTGGACATTCCTAAATAGATTTATAAGAAGTGGACCAGGGACTGAACTAATCGAAAAAACCTCATACATAAGTGATTTAGTTATTAGGAATAGGATTGGTTAAGTTTTTGAATCTTTAAGTTTTTGGTTGGTAATGAACCACAAACCTGGAGCTGAGTTCGATTTGCTCAAAATTAAAATGATACTTTACGGGTAAGTAATCTCCGACAGATTGATAAAACTATATATCGTTAGGATATATACCTATATCGTGTGTTGATATGATCGCTTCGCATATTTAGTATTCCACGGCTTACAAGTAATTCTCATACCAGTATGTATGTATGTATGTATGTTCAACTTGAGTGTGAATAAGCGTAGATCCGAATGGAGCCTCTGGCTTACTTCAAGGCATTTATATGGACATTTTTGGGAAAGTCTTAAGACGGCGAAAAGGTGATCCATACATACAAATTTATACTACGACAAAGAGCGCAAAAATTAATTGCAGGGGCGTGGTGCATCATGAGTTCTAGCCACAGGCTACAACAATCAATAAGGAATATTACCTGCAAGTTATGTGCAATTTGCGCGAAGCAATCCGCCAGAAACGCCCGGATTTGTGGAAGAACAAAAATTGCCTTTTGCACCACGATAACGCCCCTGCTCACATATCATTGCTTGTGTGCGACTATTTGCCCAAAAACAAGACACTTATGCTGCCGCAGCCACCATATTCCCCAGATCTGGCCCCCTGTGACTTTTTCTTGTTCCCTAAACTGAAGAGAGTCATGAAAGGACCACGTTACGCTACGAGTGATGAGATAAATACGACACCGAAGGAGGAGCTGAACAAGATAAAAAAAAAGATTTTTTGAAGTGCTTCGAAATTTGGAAAAACCGTTGGCACAAGTGCATAATATCTCATGGGAATTACTTTGAAGGGGACAAAATAGATATTCATGAATAAATAAATAATTTTTGAAAAAACACAAAATTCGCGATATTTTTTGAAAACACCTCGTACATACATATGTATATTTGTATAGTGCTCAGAAGGTATAGATTCGCCAATATTGAATAGATCTGTGGGCTTTATTATATTAAGTGTGCTGAACTTCAAAAATATTTTTAATTAATTAAAACAAAAAAAAAAATCGATTAGACCAAGTAGCGTTGTAATTTTTTGTAAGAGCAGCACTTTCAGCTTAACGCTTTCTCCAACTTTTATTACAGGTAATAAATTAAATTTTTTGTCATATTTATGACATTATGGGTGATATATTCAAATTCATGAATGTATGTTTGTGCTTAATTAAAAAAAAAAGAAACATTAGGACGCACACAACAAATTGGAAAATATTTTCTATTCTCAACGTTTTTGTTATGTCTTTTCTATTGAGGTTATACCGCCTTCCAAAATAGTCGTAAAAAATACGATAACAAGAAGAAATCAGCAAATTTTGTGCTATATATTTATTTAAATGCTTAGGTAAGGTTATTTGCATTTTCGCCTTCAGAGGGAGCCCAAGTACCTATGCTCTGCTTGAGAGGTATCTCAATGTTTGGTCTTCTGAAGTTCTCTCTGTCGTTAAAACGCTATAGTTTTTTTTTTTAGCAACCTTTACTCTAAGTTTATTTAAAGTGGTTCGCGAAACTGGGGTCGAAACAAACGTCCCGTGAATGTTTAACTCGTCACTTAAATTTCAATATTTAGCATTATGCCATATGTGAACGTTTACTCGTTGTCGTTATTGGGAATAATGCGTTCGGAAAGGCCACACGTTGAGGCCAGACGAAAATTGTTGAAAAGAAGAACAACAAACATTTTTTTTGTTTTTTTTTTGCTAAAATAAAGTTTTATTGTTATATTATTTTATTATTTCAAGTTGTTTTTTTTTTAAATTATTAAATCAAAAAAAAGGTAAATTTCAATTATTTTGACATTTTTCAAAGGGTGAATCTATGCTCTGTACAGACTTTTTTGCAACATTTATCGCATTCCACAGAGTGTAAACTCGCGTTAGAGTTCTGTGAACACAAGTGGCACCGCGCAAGCTTCCTAAAGCGGATGTGGTACATCAATCTTCCCCCACTGGATGTCGATGGCTCCTGTGGAATTCCCCTCATTTCATTCACTACTGTCATGGCTTCTTTGGGGTCCTCTGCCATTGAACAATAGTTGGTGAGACAACTGCAGTGCCCAATTCTACTAAGAAAAGTCGCCGGCGGAAGTTTTTCTTGTGTATATTCCACAGAGGTTACAGCTCCGTGTACATAATGTACGAAAACTGCGACTGGCCACCCATGCACTCTCCTCTTGCAGCTATAGTGCCCACCATTTCGTCCATCACGTCGACACCACATTTCTTTTTTTGGTAATAATTTATTATCTCAGATTTCTTTTTATTGTCGTGTTGATCAATTTCTTCTGATGTTTCTTCTTGTGGTATGTGCTCGACAGTGTAACAAATCGCTTACGCTTAGTTACATATGACAGTAGTGTGGCTCCCAATGTTAACTTAAACACAAATTCTGAGTGATAAAGCGACTTTTTCTTCATATCGATGACCAATAGAGGCAGCTCTATTTTGTTTATTCTAATTGTGCCTACCAACGAAATCTGCCGCTCTTTTAGTTTCTTTGCCAAGCCATATGATGTAAAGAAATTGTCGCATGTGACATTTCTTCCATTGGAGCCTTCAGTGAGCTGCAAACTCACTCTCTCTACATGATAAGGCAACAGTTGCTCATCTACCGTCAAACTTGGTCTAGGTTTATACTTAAATATGATAAATGTGTCAAATTGACACAAAAGACGGCTGCGTGTTAAGGAGTATTTCGTTAAGAACTGTTATTCGTAAGCAAGCAAGAAAAAAATATAAGTAAATTATTTTAAAATGTTATAAAAAATATTGTTTTAGGACAAATGCAAATCAAATTAACGCGGCACATAAGGAGTTCATCGCTCATTTCATGCGCTCACATCCAAATTTAACAAAAAACCCTTTGCCAAACTGCACACAGGTCAAAGCAAATGCCTGGAAATAAATACAATATTTGTAGAACATCAAAAAGATAGACGAAACATTCAGCTTGGTGAATAATAGATGGGTGAAGAGGCTTTTCAACAAAATTTGGTTGTTTAAACAACTTGATCATAACAGGCGACTGCTCGGAGGACAAGTCGGGATCGTTGTATAAACAACACGCGAACACCATTAATTGTGTTTGGCACAGTAATCGCCACGTTGGCCTAAAGTACCACCGAAGAAGTTATTTTAATTAATTTGCTTGATGAATATATAAGAGCATGGCGCAATCAAATATCTATGAGAATGAGGCTTCTCACTTCATTAGATCATACTAATTGCTTATTTAGTAAACTAATTTCTGTTCTCCTGTGAAAAGAAATTTTTTACTTTCGCTCATAAATTCCAGTCCACTACCGGAACGTCATAAATATGACCAGAAACTTTGAAATTTATTATGCGTAATAAACGTAAATTACGTTAAATAGATCGAGAACGTACATAAATAGACATTTTATTCATTAACAGTGCAGTGAAAGTTTGACCCTCAAATTTACAGACCGTCTAGAAATGTTGTTCGTTCACAACATTACCGCTCTACTCGGCCTAATCGAGTTTTCAGCTTCAAATGTGCACTTCTTCAAGATATTAAAGGATATTGTTGAAGTTACAGCTACAGCTCAACAAACCAGCACACTCATCTACGCGAGTACTGTGTACACGAAAGCGGACAGAGTGCGACAGGATGAGATGTACGAGTATGTGGCCTCTCAATTGCATTCACTGTTTAAACTAGGACCAATGGCACACATCACTGTTGATGGCTCCACGCCTTCTACGTCTTCTACGCCTTATGAAAAGCAATTCAATCATAATCTACTAAGCGTTGTGCAGCTAAGTGAACAATGGAAAAGTGATGATCAACTATTACGAACTCTGCTACAAAATTTGCACCGAAATAGACAGAGTGGCTTAATACTGCTCTTCGCTGACACAGCCACTCAAGCATATATCGCGGGGATCATGAAATTTTGCGCTGAAGAAAACGCAATAAATGTCATCGCCTTACAGCCCAATATGACGGTGAAGGAGCAAAGTTATTGGACACTGCAAATNGAGGAAAACAAAGTCAATTGTGGCATTATGACGAGAAGTATATTCCTGAACTGTTTTGCCCAAGTAACCGCTAAGTATCGTTTTTCCTTCTCTCGTTGTGTAATTGTATATTTGGGGAGGAATATTATTTCCTATCATGCGCAGAGAATATCCGTGCATATTACACAAGTGGTTAGGGAATATTCCGCGGTAGAATTTCGGCAATTTCCGCTTAATTATTTGGAGTTTTTTTGGGCGAAAATTGAAATGTTTTTCAAAACTATGAAGGTTATTATTCGTAGGTTAAAACGAAAATAGAAATATATGTATATGATTTCGATTGTTTAATATATGTATTTCAAAAATTATTTCATTAGAAAAAACGACAAATTAATATGATTTTATTGAAGCACTTAAAATGTGTGAAAAAATCATTAATATAATTTATGATTACGACAGTAAAATAGTTTAATCTGTATATTCTTTTATCAGTATTTTATGTATGTTATCAAGGTTTGTTTGCATATCGAATTGCAATTGACATATTCGAAACTTATAATTTCTACTCGAATTTTTTGATACTGTTTATGGAATAAATTGATTAACAATCAACGTGATGAAATAAATATCATATTTGTTGTCCATAGTTGCAGGTTGTATTTTGAAAGCCAGATATCCTCATGTTTACGCGAGGTACCTTCTTCGAGTTCTTGTGAAATAAATAAATAGTCACTCGCGTATTCGTACAATTTTTTAATTAAATTAACGATAATTTATAAAAGTTTAATGTTAGGTGAACATAAATGAATATATTGATATCAAATATAATAATTTAGTTTTAAATGTTGTCGCCCCGTGCGCGCTTGCCGTAGATAGTCAACAGCGATATCGGCTTATAGATCATTGCCTTAATATTGATTTTTCCGTGCTACAAGGTTTCGTGGGCATGCCATTTTGGTTCCGTACGCGTAGTTCACGTCTACATAAGTTCATAAGCATTATCATCTCCTTTGCGGGTATAAATTTTGGTGCTGCCTACGTTGCTTACTTGCAGAGTTACATCGTAAACTCACCCACGGAAGCGCCTGCCTTGACAATAGATGATTTAATCGCAAATAATGTTCAAATTGCTATGACGAAGGAATTACTCTCATACATGGAAAGTGGAGAGATGTCAAAGTTATATAATAAGTTTACTCTTTTTAAAAACTTAACTGAATTAATCCTGCTACGCAATAATTTGGATCCACGCTATGCCTATACAGTCACGAATATGTGGACAATTCATGCTGAACAACAGAAGTATTTCGCTCGACCACTATTTCGTCTCTCGGAAATCTGTTTTAAAAAGGACGTATCATTGGTAATGCCATTGAAAGCGAACTCAATTTTTCGTCAGAGTTTAAGCCACTTTATCAATAGAATAGTTGAGGCTGGTTTGATATTTCATTGGTTGCGAGAGTCATTTTTTGAGCTTGTAGCAATGAAATGGATTTCGCTAGAAGACCCAAGCACTCGGCAAACTTTTACTCCACTGAAATTGGAGGACTTGGAAGTCATAATTACTATGTTTACCGTTTTGAATGTTCTAAGTTTCTGTTGTTTTCTCTTGGAGTTTTTTTGGGCGAAAATTGAAATGTTTTTCAAAACTATGAAGGTTATTATTCGTAGGTTAAAACGAAAATAGAAATATATGTATATGATTTCGATTGTTTAATATATGTATTTCAAAAATTATTTCATTAGAAAAAACGACAAATTAATATGATTTTATTGAAGCACTTAAAATGTGTGAAAAAATCATTAATATAATTTATGATTACGACAGTAAAATAGTTTAATCTGTATATTCTTTTATCAGTATTTTATGTATGTTATCAAGGTTTGTTTGCATATCGAATTGCAATTGACATATTCGAAACTTATAATTTCTACTCGAATTTTTTGATACTGTTTATGGAATAAATTGATTAACAATCAACGTGATGAAATAAATATCATATTTGTTGTCCATAGTTGCAGGTTGTATTTTGAAAGCCAGATATCCTCATGTTTACGCGAGGTACCTTCTTCGAGTTCTTGTGAAATAAATAAATAGTCACTCGCGTATTCGTACAATTTTTTAATTAAATTAACGATAATTTATAAAAGTTTAATGTTAGGTGAACATAAATGAATATATTGATATCAAATATAATAATTTAGTTTTAAATGTTGTCGCCCCGTGCGCGCTTGCCGTAGTATTGATATGAAATCTCGCTCGTTTGTTTGGTAAGCACGGCTTATATAGGCCAAAGGCGCATTAGGGTGTGTCCAAAATATTAGGGAGGCGTCTTGTTAACCACGCGCTTAAACAAGGCCATTTCGGAAAATTCTTTCCTTTTAAATTATAATAAAAAGTCATCAATACAAAACTGAAACATAGTAAACCTCCATTGATGTGACGAATTCTATTCCAAAGTGTCAATTAAAATGCGCGCCAACATTCTTCCCAACCACAAAAAAAATGTTTCAAATTAGTAGGTTTTACTTCGAGCAACTGCAATTTGCAAACACAAATGTAACTTGAAAGCAACCGCAATCCATACAGTCTGATTTTGCAAAACATAACCGCGCTACTTTTTACAAACCTATGATAAAAAATATAAATCGTTGAAATATGTATGTATTTATAGATTAATTTGTATGACGATATTCATTATAATTTAACAACATTTTAATTTTATTGTGGAAAAATGCTTTTAACATTGATTATATTGATAAATTGAAAAATAACAAATACGTATAGAGTTGCGTAAATAAATTTTTAATATTTTTTGGGCTTTAACCAAAAAGTTTCAAATGAAAAAGTGAAGTTACTCTTTGGAAAAAAGGCTATCATCAACATTATTATTTAATTGCAGTGGTTTAAACCTCATTACAAGCATTTGCATGTGTTTTCAGTGCATTATACAACACATGACAAAACAAGGAAATGAAAGCAATAAAAGCGCTAAGGAAAGCAAAAACCGAATTGGAAAATATTTAGTAATAGAAGGTTTGCCCCAACGATGGCTGTTCCACAGGTATCATTATATAACAGTCTGAATAATCGAGAAACTCAATCATTCTCAAAAAGTTCACATATTTCTGGAGAAAAAGTCCTTTTTTACTTGGTGCATACTCCTATGAAGCTGGATACCACCCAAACTCCATTATGCGTATACTTAGGCCTTCCATGTTTTGTAAATTACGTGGGAATATAGTATTGAACTTTCGCTGTTCTTTGTGGAATATTGCCAACGACTACTAGCTTCTTTCAAGGATACCACTGGGAAAATTACACGCACATCGTTTCCAAATAAGAATTAAGTCTTCGAAACAAAAAAAGTTTACAATTAATTATTAAAAACTTAAATGAAAATGGATTAAAAAAAGTAAAATGAATTCCAAAGAGGATATGTAATTAAACAAAACAAAGCAAAATAAAACAAATTAAAATAAAAATAAATTAAATAAAACTCGATAAAAGTAGATGATAAAATAAAAAAAAATTAATATAATTAAAAAAAATTAAATACAATGAATTAACATATAAGATAAGAGGAATATTATAACATAAACAAAATCAAATAGAATTAAAAAAAAAACTAAAAGAATTAAATGAAAACTAAAATAAATTTATTAATATAAAAATATAATTAGAGCAGAAAAAATGAAGTAAAAAAAAAGCAAATTTAAATTAATTAAAATGAAATAAAAATTTAATAAATTAAAAAAATAAAATCAAACGAAATAATTTAAAATAGAATTAAATAAAATAAAAAAATAAACAAATACGATTAATTAAATTAAAGTTAACTAAAAAAGAGTTGTATGGAAACTATATGCTGCAAGAATACATAGATTAAAATACTTTACAGTCCAAATAGCAAAATTTATTTCGGAATTGTTCGTTCACTGGCTGCTGGTCAGTACAATTTCACATACATATTTTAAGTGCTATAATAAAATCATATTAATTTCTCGTTCTTTCTAATGAAATAATTTTTAAAATACATATAATAAACTATCAAAATCATATACATATATTTCTATTTTCGTTTTAACCTACGAATAATAACCTTCATAGTTTTGAAAAACATTTCAATTTTCGCCCAAAAAAACTCCAAGAGAAAACAACAGAAACTTAGAACATTTAAAACGGTAAACATAGTAATTATGACTTCCAAGTCCTCCAATTTCAGTGGAGTAAAAGTTTGCCGAGTGCTTGGGTCTTCTAGCGAAATCCATTTCATTGCTACAAGCTCAAAAAATGACTCTCGCAACCAATGAAATATCAAACCAGCCTCAACTATTCTATTGATAAAGTGGCTTAAACTCTGACGAAAAATTGAGTTCGCTTTCAATGGCATTACCAATGATACGTCCTTTTTAAAACAGATTTCCGAGAGACGAAATAGTGGTCGAGCGAAATACTTCTGTTGTTCAGCATGAATTGTCCACATATTCGTGACTGTATAGGCATAGCGTGGATCCAAATTATTGCGTAGCAGGATTAATTCAGTTAAGTTTTTAAAAAGAGTAAACTTATTATATAACTTTGACATCTCTCCACTTTCCATGTATGAGAGTATTTCCTTCGACATAGCAATTTGAACATTATTTGCGATTAAATCATCTATTGTCAAGGCAGGCGCTTCCGTGGGTGAGTTTACGATGTAACTCTGCAAGTAAGCAACGTAGGCAGCACCAAAATTTATACCCGCAAAGGAGATGATAATGCTTATGAACTTATGTAGACGTGAACTACGCGTACGGAACCAAAATGGCATGCCCACGAAACCTTGTAGCACGGAGAAATTAATATTAAGGCAATGATCTATAAGCCGATATCGCTGTTGACTATCACGTTGAATTAAGAGTGCCAAAATGCCGCAGACTAATGCTAGGCTAACAAAAAATAAAATTATGAACCATTTGCAAAGGAATTTGTAGTAGAATGATTTCTTTGGAATTGTCTTTTCCACTGGTACCATTAGACATGTATCGCAATCAGAAATTGAAGTGGTGAAACTCAGTCTATCCTCCTTGATATGGACCGGTCAAACTGGTCCCGTATCAGAGTTCCCATTCACTACTTCATCGCGCACCATATCCAGTATACTTCTGCCTTCTTGGAGGAAAACAAAGTCAATTGTGGCATTATGACGAGAAGTATATTCCTGAACTGTTTTGCCCAAGTAACCGCTAAGTATCGTTTTTCCTTCTCTCGTTGTGTCATTGTACATTTCAGGAGGAAAATTGTTTCCTATCATGCGCAGTGGATATCCGTGCATATTACACAAGTGGTCAGGGAATATTCCGCGGTAGAATTTCGGCAATTTCCGCTTAATTATTTCTTTTTCGGGAAATATTTGCAGTGTCCAATAACTTTGCTCCTTCACCGTCATATTGGGCTGTAAGGCGATGACATTTATTGCGTTTTCTTCAGCGCAAAATTTCATGATCCCTGCGATATATGCTTGAGTGGCTGTGTCAGCGAAGAGCAGTATTAAGCCACTCTGTCTATTTCGGTGCAAATTTTGTAGCAGAGTTCGTAATAGTTGATCATCACTTTTCCATTGTTCACTTAGCTGCACAACGCTTAGTAGATTATGATTGAATTGCTTTTCATAAGGCGTAGAAGACGTAGAAGGCGTGGAGCCATCAACAGTGATGTGTGCCATTGGTCCTAGTTTAAAGAGTGAATGCAATTGACAGGCCACATACTCGTACATCTCATCCTGTCGCACTCTGTCCGCGTTCGTGTACACATTACTCGCGTAGATGAGTGTGCTGGTTTGTTGAGCTGTAGCTGTAACTTCAACAATATCCTTGAATATCTTGAAGAAGTGCACATTTGAAGCTGAAAACTCGATTAGGCCGAGTAGAGCGGTTATGTTGTGAACGAACAACATTTCTAGACGGTCTGTTAATTTGAGGGTCAAGCTTTCACTGCACTGTTAATGAATAAAATGTCTATTTATGTACGTTCTCGATCTATTTAACGTAATTTACGTTTATTACGCGTAATAAATTTCAAAGTTTCTGGTCATATTTATGACGTTCCGGTAGTGGACTGGAATTTATGAGTGAAAGTAAATAATTTCTTTGCACTGGAGAACGGAAATTAGTTTAATTATATAAGCAATTAGTATGATCTAATGAAGTGAGAAGCCTCATTCTCATGGGTATTCAATTCCACCTTGCTTTTATATTATATATTCAACAAGCAAATTAATTATTATAATTAATTAATTAATTATTATAATTAATTTGCGTTTTGTACAACTTTGTGAGGATTCATGAAGAAATCCTTGAATTTATCTTTATTTAAACCAAATTAAAAAAATTAGACAATTTTTAAATAAACAAAAGTAAATATTTTTTTATACCGAAAACATGGTAGCTACACTGAAATCAAATAAGAACCGCCGAAAGCCAAATTCAACGCGTTGAATTCGAAAAACGGAGACTGGTTCAAGCATGACCAGAATAAAAGGCTGCTGCATGGAAACAAGAAAAGCTTTATGGTCAAAAATAAATAATAGATAAGAGTCCAGCAGAAGCTGAGAGAACGTTCCAATAGAGAATGGGTAATTCGGCTGAACATGAAAAGTCAAAGTCAAAAACCAAATTCGCGATTTCATTTTTTCACTAAGATTTGCGAACTATTTCCGAAGTTAGTACAACCAGTTAGTACTGTTTGGCTATTTCGTCGTAAAAAAAATCCATAATATTGCAATGTTTTTCCTTGACGTTATTTATGCAATTATGAAATAAATTTTACTATTCTTATGCGACGATGTTTAGCGTATTCCCTAAAGCCCAACAGAAATGCTTAGAGTGCTCGCGTGTTGCTTATGAGTACTCTTTACTACTCCAATGGTAACCAAAATCTGGTTTTTAGATCTTCGTTAAGACATCGCATTATTTAAACGGTCATAAGCCATTCGGTTACTTCGTACTTTTTCAAAACAATTTAATATAACATTTTCGGCCAGTTCCAGTGAGTTGTGAGATGAGTTAATTTTCGGTGTGCTGGCAAGCGTCAGCATAAAATTTCAATAAAAATATTTCAGATCTGTTGAAATTATTTTTCTCAAAACAAAATTAAACTACTGACCTCTGAATGCGAAGAGCTGTTTTAGTGATAATTTAAACAATTTTTGAGTTACATCAATCGAAAAATCTTTCTTACAGTATGACGAGTGGAGTAGACTCGGTCACCTTTTTCGAAAATTATAAATTGAGCTTAGATGTCACAAAGAGCGGCAAATTTCATAGAACAATTTTGTTTTTTATTGTTTTATTAAATATATCCTTTATATTAAGCCCACATTTCAATAAGAATAGTAATTATTTATTAATTTGCTAACTGAAACCAAAATTTCTCACGGGTTTTCGTCATATTGACTCAAAAATGAAGCAACAAAGTGGAAAGCCAACATCGTGGATAAGAAACTTAGAACTGGCTTCAAATCCGCCTATTCCACTGGTCTGAGACCTTCTCGCTTATTGCGATCCTTACACTTTAAAACATTCATTATTATCATCTCCCAAAAAGATTTCTGTATCCACTAACCAGATCGCAGACCACATATTGGTGGCAGGGAACACGAGCCAATAAGTCACGGAACAATACGAGTTTAGCTGAATTGAGTGTTGCTGCAAAACATAAAATTCTTAATTTATTTTAATGTCTCTGATCTTATCGACAGCCGCCGAAAAAAGCTGTTTCCATAACCACAGTGATTCCGCATTTTATTATATCGTGAATTGTTTTTTTTGAATTCGGTATCCCCCAAGACTTATACGGCTAAATGTTGAGGTTTCTAACAGGGTGATTCCTTATCGTGTGACTTTTTTAACTTATTGCTGGATAAAATAACATGAGCTGCAGAGCTGAGTAGGGAAGGTACAATCTTCTAACAAGTATACAGCTGCTGGCGTAAGTCGATGATATTGACATAATTGGCCTCAACAACAGCGTCGTTAGTTCTGCATTCTCCAAACTCGATAAAGAAGCGCAGCAAATGCGTCTGGTAGGCAATGAGGACTCAAACAAACAGTCATCGCATTCGGTACTCGGCTCCCACGCCACTGTTGACAGTCATAACTTTGAAGTCGTAGATAATTTCGCGTATCTAGGAACCAATATCAGCACTAATAATAATCTCAGCCATGAAATCCAATGCAAAATCACTCCTACCAACGGGTGCTACTTCGGACTGAGTAGGCAATTGAAGAGCAGAGTCTTCTCTCGGTGAACGAAAATCGAACTTTACAAGTCGCTCATCATACCCGTCCTATTGTATGGCGCAGAGCCGTGGATGATGTCAACAACTGAAGAGTCGGCTCTAAGAGCCTTCGAGAAATAAGTTTTGCAAAGGATTTTTGTCCTTTACGTATTGGCAGACAACGGAACGATGAGCTGTACGAGCTATATGATGATATTGACATAGTTCAGCGAATGAAGAGACTGCCGCTACGCTGGCTTGGACATGTTGTACGTATGGATACAAGCACTCCAGTCAAATATTCGATGCAGTACCCGCTGGTGGAAGTAGAGAAAGAGTAAGATCTCTACGCCGTTGGAAGAATCAAGTGGAGAGTGACCTGGCCTTACTTGGTACTTCCAACTGGCACCAGACAGCGAAAAGAAGCGAAGTATGGCGCGCTGATATTGATTCGGCTATAATCGCGTATGCGGTGCCAACGCCAATTAAGAAAAGTAAGAATTGTTTTCATTTTGAACTCCGTTGGTGTCGCAAGAGCGTAATTCTGCATGTAAGCATTACTAAGCTGTGCCAACGACGGCATCAGTCAATGAGATGATAATATAAATGACTTCTTGTTAGTAAAAAGTGGGTGTCTTCTTTGGTGATTTCGCATGTCGCTAATGAGAGTCTCAGGAGATTTTCGTATAACGAAGGTCTGGAAACTACTGTAGTGTTCTGGAAACTTGGAGGGTTGCCTGTGGTCCCTCTCATATCGAGCAGTGTCCGAAAGTCCTAGTGGATAATTTAACTATGGAATGGTGATTAGAGGTAGATCAAGTAAACTATCAAGCGCCGCCGTTGGAGTGGTCCTCCGCGGTCCTCTTATGCACTGTGCAACAATGGTTTTCTACATGAGATTTTGTTGGGCCATCGATCTACCACGAAAAATTGGCGTAGAGTAATACTGACTTAATCTATCGCTGTGAAACACCCATGTATAGAGCTAGGGGATATGCTCCATGTGGTAGCCTGATGTTTTTAGTTCGACTATAATTCCGTTTACGGTGCCTAAGGGAAAGATTTTATGTATTCTTTATGAAAGTCAAGGCACCAAAAAAGGAGTCGGAAAACAATATTCTTTCACACTTCTGCTTATATTCTAATTAAAAACATTGCTGAGCTTAAGTTTTTTAAAATATATAAAAAAAAAATAATTACAAGTAAATTAAAGTAATTAAAAAAATTATAATTTATTCTCATTTAAATTTTGAACAGTCTCTACTTTCGTGGGACAGTGCTTGTGTTCGCACATTTGCATATCAGCGCATCTTCACATCACATCACACTATTTTAACACTCGTAAACAATTTTTCAACACATTCGAAACAAAATAATTTGCATTTAATGCAAAATTCAGCAAGGATGAACAACAATAACAACTAAAAAACCATAGACAATAAAATGCTTGCGGAGAAATAAAGAAAAAAAACACAAGACGAAGACACATGTGCAATCATTATTGAGACTAAACGACCAAAAATAAATCAACTTGAGTTTCGTCAATGCAACATCAATAAAGCACCAAAGATGCATGCAACCAACAAGCAGTGCAGCATAGATTGCAACTTTCAACTGAAAGCCACTACCAAACAAGCGGCAACAAACAAGTCATTTAGACGACATCTCGTTAGTAAAACAACAAATGATTGGACGATCTGTCGATGCTCAGAAGGTTAAAACGTACTTACATACTATTGTATATACATACATATATG